ACTGGCAGTGGCTGCGGCGCCGCGTGCTGCGCCCGCCCGCGCCGCCCTACGGCCACGTGTGCCAGGTGGGCGACCCCACGCTGCGCGCGCGCGCCGCCCCCGTGGAGCCGGCGCGGGTGCGCGGCGCGGAGGTGCAGGCGCTGATCCGGGCGCTGGTGCGCGCCATGCGCAGGCACGGCTGCGTGGCGCTCAGCGCGCCCCAGGTGGGCGTCCCGCTGCGCGTCTTCGTGGCCGAGTACCCGGAGCGGCTGTGCGCGGAGCTGCCGGCCCGCGAGCGCCAGGCGCGGCAGGTGGCGCCCTTCCCGCTGCGCGTCTTCGTCAACCCGGCCATGCGGGTGCTGGACGCGCGGCTCGTCTCCTTCCCGGAGGGCTGCCAGAGCGTCAGCGGCTTCTCGGCCTGCGTCGCCAGATACCAGGCCGTGCAGGTCTCAGGTGGGCTGGCCGCGGGCGCCGCGCACGTGTGGGGCGGGTCGTGGGGGATGCCCGGCAGCGCCCAAAGAGGGGCCTGCGGGGTGTGCCGGGCCGCTTCCTCTCGGGCGCGTCTCCGCACCTTTTCGGCCTGAACTTGCTGCCTGCCTTTCCTCGTGGGAGCGATCGGGAGATCCGACTCGGCCTGCCGTGCAGCCCTGCACTGCCTGGCCAGGTGGGCCCGTCCCCCCCCGCCCACACACAGCCCCCCCCCCCCGGCCTGCGAGGGCCTGGGGGCCGCAAGAGCTGACAGGGGCTTCCTCCTCGCAGGCCTGGACGCGGACGGGGAGCCGACCACGTGGCAGGCGAGCGGCTGGGCGGCCCGCATCATCCAGCACGAGATGGACCACCTGGAGGGAGTGCTGTACATAGACAAGATGGAGAGCAGGACGTTCCTGAACCTGCGGTGGGCCGAGCTGAACGAGTGAGCCCCCCGTGGGGCGGCGTGCAGGGCAGTGCGTGCCTGTGCGTGCCTGTTACGGGTGCCTTATAAACCTCTCCAGACCTGCCAGAGTACCAGCTGGGCAGCTTTTTTTGCATGCTGCTGCTGGGGTGGGGGGGTGGGGGGGGCATTACTTGTGGCTGATGCGGCACCTTCCCTTGGGTGGCATTGGCCAGACAGGCCCAGCTGCGTACACATTTCAGACACCCAGCGTGTGGGAGGTCGAACAAAGCGGCGCCCACAGAGCACTTCATCCCAGCATCCCTTGGTCACTGCCAAGTGCATCTTGCGCCCGCTGCACAGGAGCCGCCTCAGGTGCCAGCCTGGCCAAGTCCCGGGACGTGTGTCCTAGAAAACTGCCCTCCTGCCACAGCCCTTCTCGGAGTAGGTAGCAAGCACCCTGTGGTCCCGCTCCCGCCTCCAGGGCCCCCCACCTGGAGGAGCCTGCGCCTGAACCACGGCGGAAGCGCATCTCACAGGGGCAGTGCCGGAGGCTGGCGCTGAAGGCAGCGGCATGTCCCGAAAGGTCATCGTGCTGCGCCTGATCGCCTGTGGACGGGCCCTTGCCCTGCCCCACCGTGCCGGCGCCAGCTCTGCCAGCTCCCCCCCCCCCCCCCAGAAGAAGGGTGCCCGTTTCCGGGGAGCTTTAGGCCTCCACCTTGCAACCCGCCCTGCCTGTAGGCACCGGCCCCCTAATCTGGTGCCACAAGTCCCGCTCAGGGGAGCCGTACTCGGCCCGATTTCTAGAGCAGAATTCGCACAGGCAAAAGGAGGCTTCTTTGCCTCCCACTGCCAAGAGCATCTGTAAAATCCCTCCCCTTCCATGCGCCCCCGCGCACACACTCTCCTTCGGGTGTCGGGGGGGGGGGGGGAGCACTTTTCCACGCACTTCAATCTGGCTCCTGTGACGAAACAAACAGAGCCGGCGATTGTACAGGTCGCATGAAGCAGCCAATGAAACACGTCAAGAGGCGGGCCTACCCTCCTTTTCCACACTTTATTCTTCCACAGACTGTCCTGTCCCTGCGCAGGCATCAACTCAAAATCATCTACACCACAAGAAAGGGCAGATGGGTGAGCAGTCAATCCCCCCCCCGACAGCTGGAAGCGCCCCAAGTTGGCCGCAGCCCTTCCTTGGCAGAACAACGCCACGGCCAAAGCACAGGCAGGGGCAGCGAGAGGGGGCTGGTTACAAGATCCGAGGTCGGCGCTTCACGTCCAGTGACACTGACGAAATCCGAAGGGCAGCCCTTCCCTGGCCCCGCTAGACTCTGCAGCAGAGAGGCGCCCAGGCTCCCATGGACAGCCGCAGCAAGCTCTGGGGGGAGCGTGGCCACGCATTCCTGCATGCTGCAGCGGCAAACGAAGAGGGAAGAAGGCCGCCCGTCGGCTGCCTCCAAGACTTGCGCGTCGCCCCCAAAAGCGTCACATCACGAGGCACCAGCACAGCCGCAGGGCACCAGAGCCTCCTTTCCGAGAAAGCCCAGGCAGGCCGGTGGGGGGGGGGTGAAAGCAAAGCCGTACCCCTCGCCTGACCAGCCCCCCGCCGCATGCACAGGCCCCCAGGCAGGCAGGACTTGGCGTGTTCTCCGGAGAAGGGCTGCCGCCCACACGCCCCAGGCACAAGTGTGCGGGGGGCCCGAGCGCTTCTCCCCGAAGAGCTTCCTTGCATGCTTGGCGGGGTGACAGGCCATTCCCTTTGGAGCTCAGCTCCCGCCAGGTTCCAAAATGCGGCAAAGGGCTGGCAAGCCATTCCGCTGGGTGGCCGGCCGAGAGCGAGAGGCGCTGTTTCCACACAAGCCGGATGGGGCCTCAGGAAGAGGGCTGGGGGAGCGTGGAGATGTCAGGCAGTTTTATTTGTATAAATATAAACCCAGGCAGAAGAAATGGGAAGGAAAAAAGCAACCAGGGAGCGGGGGAAATCAGGCCAGCCGCGCAGCCCCGTCATGTCCATCCCTGGCAGAGCCACGAGGCTCCGCCACACGAGTGCCCGCAGGGAGGCAGAGTGCTCGGCGGGGCACGGTCCCCTCTCGGCCCAGTCCTGCGCCACGCAAGGGCCTCCGGCACCTGCAGCCGCCCCGCCAGCACTGCGCTCCGTGCGTGCGTGCGCGCTAGCCCTCCTGGCCGAAGTCTTCCGTGAACTTCTTCACCTTCAGGAGGTCTTCCGCGTTCACGGTGGGGCGGGTGGTGGCCAACGAGCGCAGCATGTCGGACTGCGGAGACAGAAGAGGGGGCAGCTGCCGCGTGCGGCCGCGAGGACTGGGCCGGGGCGTCCGATCCTGCCCGGCCCCGAGTGGGGGCTGGCGCTGCCCGAGCCGCGCTGCAGGGCTGAGGAGCACGTGCCGCCCCTCAGCCGCCTGGCCCACAGCGGTCCGTGCGTCGCTCCTGCCCGCCTGCCAGGCGCGTCCCCTGCTCGGGGGAGTCGCGCAACGGCCCGCTCGTGCCGCAGGCTCGGCCCCGGGACTCGGGGAGAAGGGCCTTGGCCTGCCCTGTGCACTCACCATGCACACCGTGGGCTCCAGGAGCTTGTCGCCCGGCACCTCCATCCAGGTCATTTCCAGAGCGCCTGGGTCCCCGGGCGAACATGGCGTCAGCAGGTCGTCCACCACCACGCCGGGGTTGGTGCGGGACGGGCCTCGCACCTGCAAGACGGACACCGGGCGCTGACGCGGGGCACAGGCGGGGGGGTCAGCCTCTGGCCCTCTGGCGCAGGAGCAGGCGGGGCGGCCAGGACTTCCACCCCCGTCCTGCTTCCTGACACACGGGCCGGCCCAGGCTGAGCACTCAGCAACCCCGCCCCTCGCCCTCAAGCCCGACCCACGGCAACCGGGGGGCGAGAACCTCTCCCCTCCACCGAGGAGGCTGCCCGTGACGCGTGCAGAAAGCCACCCATGTGGCCTGCGGCTGCCGCCAGGGCCTGTTGGGACCGGAGCTGCTGCAGCCGTAACGCCGGGCCCATCGCGCTCCCGAATGACGGGCCGGTGCCTGTGCAGAACCACGAGGGCCGGGCAGGTGGCGGGGGGGGGGGGCTCACCTTCTTGAAGTGGGTGGCGGACTGCACCTTGCGGACCGGCTGCATGAGGGCGTCGCGCACGATGATGCTGATGTCGGCGCCGGAGTAGCCGTCTGTCCGCTGGGCCATCTCGTGGATGTTGGCTTCCGTCAGGCTGTGCGGCGTGTTGCCCAGGTGCAGCTTGAACATCTGGGCCCGGGCCGGCTCCTCGGGGAGCGGGATGTAAATGCGCTTCTCAAACCTGGGGACGAAGGCGGGCACAGGACACAGTCCATTCCCAGAGCCCGGAGGAACAAGCGCAAGCGTCCCGCAGGCCCCGCGGGGAGTGGGGGGGCTGGCGGGAGGGCACGGCTTTCCTCCGCCGCAACCCCCACGTTCTCGGGGCCACTTCTTCACTGCAGCTTTAAATTGGAGCTTTGGGTCTCATGTTACATGTGCACTCGCTTCTGCACTGCTCAATTACTGAAATTCTCTAACTGGGCCACAAACCACAAGTTTGGATTAGAAAATACATATATATAATGAAACCGTATAAAATCTTACCCAGATTAAAACGGCTGCAGGATAAAGCCAAGCAAAAGATCAGTAGCTGCACCAAGGCCCAAAACGTGCACCTTTTTATAAGCCTCTCCTTTAAAATGCCGTCTGGGTTTGCAGGTCGTTCTGCCATTTTCACAAACTGCTGGTGGCAGGAAAGCCACAACCAGCTGCAGAACCGGCAGCTGACAAGCAAGGGAGACGCCAGCAAAAGGCGCACCCCTCCGGCCGAAGGACCTGGCCGGAGACCGTGCGCCCCGGCCAGGGCAGCAGCCCCATGCAGGCCAGCAGAGGCCGTCGTCACCCACCTTCGCCGGATGGCCGCATCCAGCACCCAGGGGATGTTCGTGGCACCCAAGACCAGCGTGCCGTCGTTGTTATTGCCGACACCTGTCAAGAAGCGGGAGCCCCATCACCGTGCTGCACAAACCAGCGGGGTGGGGCTGCCCATCCCAGCCCCATCCCACGGCCGAGCAGACAGGGCAGGAGCCGGGGGGCTGCCCTCTGCCAGGCCTGGCCACCCACCCTGCATCTGCACCAGGAACTCGGTCTTGATCCGGCGGGCGGCCTCGCTCTCGTTCTCATTGCGGGAGCCGCACAGGGAGTCGACCTCGTCGATGAAGATGATGGAGGGCTTGTGCTGCCGGGCCAGCTCAAAGAGGTTCTTCACCAGCCTGGCGGAGGAGCAGGGCAGCCGCGGTGAGCCTCCTGCCCAGCCCCAGCCCCAGCCCCAGCCCCAGCCCCAGCCCCAGCCCCGGGCACTCCCACTCCAGCGCCGCCCGGGCTTCCCTGCCCTGCAAGCCAGACGCGGCTGCCAGCGGGCCCGGAGGGCCCTCCTGCACCCCCGCCCCCTCCCGCCCGCCCGGGGCCACTGCCGCTCGCCGGAGGGAAGGGACGGGGCTTGCCTCTTCGTGCGAGCCGTTTCGCCTCTCCAGGCAGGAGGCAGGAAGCGTGGCTGATGCAGTCCGGCCAGGAGGCAGGATAAGAGGCCCCCCAGAGACTGGGCTGCAGGGTCTGAGCACCAAGCCCCCCGAGACAGGCTCAGCCCTCGGCACGCGGGAGCGGGACTGGCCCCGCCACTCACTTTTCACTCTCTCCCAGCCACTTGGACATCAAGTCGGAGGAGGAGATGGAGAAGAAGGTGGAGTTGCTGGCCTCGGTGGCCACGGCTTTGGCCAGGTAGGACTTCCCGGTGCCAGGGGGGCCGAAGAGCAGGATCCCTCGCCAGGGAGTGCGCTTGCCTAGCACAGAGGAAGACCAGGTGGGCTCGCCCAGCGTCCCTCGCGAGGCCCGGGGCCTCCCGGGAGCGCGAAGGGGCTGGGCGCTCACCTGTGAACAGGTGGGGGAACTTGATGGGCAGGATGACGGCCTCCTTCAGCGCCTCCTTGGCTCCCTCCAGCCCAGCCACGTCGTTCCACCGCACGTTGGGCTTCTCCATCACAATGGCACCTGCAACGGGAGGCCGGTCAGTCAGGAGAGGTCGCGCCCCGTGAAGGAGCCTGCCTGCACGGATGGCTCCGTCCAGAGGCCACGCTCCAGGGAGAGGCCGCGGGCGGGCGGGCGGGCGGGGGCAGCGTACCCATCAGCTGTTCCTGGAGCTTCTTCTTCTCCGGGTTGTCCCCCTCGCTGTCGCTGTCGCTCCTGCAGCAGGAGGCAGCGCAGGACACAGGTCAGACGGTGCCAAGGCGGGCAGCACCGGGAGAACGCCAGAGGGGCGCTCCCGCCAGCTTCCCTCACAGGCTCGTGCAGGAGAACGGGCAAGCTGGCCCTTCCTGCCCTGAGCAGCACGCAGGGCAGGCAAGAGCAGCGCCTCCCCGCACCCTCCTGCAGGAACCCTAAAGCACGGGGCTCTGCCCGGGCAGGGTCCTTCCCACGCCGGTGCCACCTTCAGCCCGGCCCACAAGGAGGGAGGCGGGCCATGCAGCGCATCTGGGACCCACGCAGGGCTGCTTGGTTCAGGGGTGCAACCGATCCCGCCTCGGCGCCGAGGATCTGACCCGCCCGCGCCTCGCTTCTGCTGCCCAGAGCCGGCTGGGCCTTGCTCTAGCGTAGCCTTCGCAAGCACAAACGGGTCGGACGCCAGGCCCCAGGTGAGCTGCGCAGGGTCCGGCAAGGCGGATCGGAGCCGCCCAGCATGTGCTGCTTAAGCGGGCCAGAGGTCCAGAGTCCCAGAGGCAAGGCGGGCACGGGAGGCCCCACCGCTCCCCCGCTTCCGCGACCTCTGTGAGCCCCATCCACGACTCGGCGCTCGCCCGGAGAAGGGGCCCCACCCCGGCCAAGCGAGCACCCCCGTCCCCGCGGGGCGCCGGCGCCCCCCCGCACCCCTTGCTGTCGTTCTGGGCCTCCTTGACCGGCTTCTTGCTCGGCTTGTCCTTGCTCCGCAGGTAGTCCTTCAGCTTCTCGGCCCGGTCCAGGTACTGCGCGCACTTGGCCCGGATGCTCTCCTTGGCCTTGTCGCTGTGCGCATCGTCTGCGGGGGCAACGGGGAGGGGGGGCGGGTGAGCGGGCGCCTGCGGGGCCACCGCGGCCCCGGGGGCAGCGCAAGGGCGGGGGGGGGGCCAGCAGGGCCGGCCGGGGGCGCCGCGACTCACACTTGATGGCGTGCAGGAAGTACTCCACGGCGTGCTGGTAGAGGCGCAGCGCCTCCGCGTAGTTCTTGGCCTTGTCCTCCTCGGTGGCCTTCGTGACCAGGTCGATGGCTTTCTGCGGG